CTGGAAGTGAGAATCCAACCCGAGCCCATCTAAACCCAAGGTCGGGAATGCCTGTGAAACATCGGTGACAGTTGTGCAGATTGGGAAGCGCAGCTGAGTCAGCCCTGGCCGTGGGGAGTTTGGGGGCAGGGACGGAGAGGAGGGAGTCAGGAGGGGTGCACGTAGTGCCCTTCCCTCCCTCCGGAGCTAAAAACTCAGGGGAGGACCGGCTTCTGGCCTCTCCCCTGTGTGGACAGGCCACTTCCACCGCAGGGCAGGCTCGGCCGCGGCTGGGGGCTCACGCAGAGTGGCCCCCAACCCTGGAGAGATGCGCAGATATTAGAGAATGCGGGTGTCCCTCAGAAACAGCGTGGTGAAAAGTAGGGGCCAAAAGAAAGCTCACCAACGCCTCCCACGTACTTTGTTGTGCAGTTTGGGGGGGGGGCATAGATCCCCAGGACAAGTCTCACTCCGCCGAGGGCAGAACCTTGAACAGTCTGAGCAGACCCGGTCCACCCCTCTTGGAACAGGCTATCTGAACAGCTCCGGGGGGTCCTTGTTTCCCCAGCCTCCGCTGGGGGTCCCGGGAAGGCGTCCCCCTGTCCGGGCGCCCTGGCAATCACTCTGCCTGCAAGAGTAACAAATATCAACGCGACCATGTTGTTTTTTCCTTCCATTGCCTCCAGTATTCAAGGTTTTGTTTTCTCCATCATGTTCATACGTATGCATGTAATTAAACGTTTGTGGAAATCCCTTTAATAATAAACAGGAAATGAACCTAAATATTGTTCGTTTCTCTCATTCATCAGAGGTCATCCAGAGGGGAAGGAAGGTAACTGGAATCAGGAAAAAAAAAATTTTTTTTCCAGACATTCCTTGGCTGTTGTTCGGGGCTAAAAGTGAAGGGGCTAAGGTCAGCTTCTGGAAGGCAAAGCGGTGGATTTGAGATTTGCATGTTAAGAGCACCCGAAATCAGGGACCTGACAGCTTCCTAAATGAGCTGCCAGGAGGTAGAATTTCTCTGTTTCAAATTCCACTGCTCCTCATGACTCGCAGTGTGAAAAAGATCTTCCTCTATACTGTGGGGTTTGTTGGTTTGTTTGTTTTTTTAACGTTTATTCATTTTCAAGAGACAGAGATAGAGCACGAGCCAGGGAGGGGCAGAGAGAGAGGGAGACACAGAATCTGAAGCAGGCTTCGGGCTCCGAGCTGTCAGCACAGAGCCCGACGCGGGGCTGGAACTCACGAACTGCCAGGTCATGACCTGAGCCGATCAGACACCCAACCAGTTGAGCCACCCAGGCGGCTCTACACTGTGGCTATAATCTTGGAATCACGGTCACCGTGGGCCCAAAACTAGATGCGCAATCGATGATGTGTGTGTGTCCGCACACACATGCATCTGTTTCTCTGGGAATATGACCCATGGCTTTCATTAGATTCTCAAAGAAACCCAGAACCCCAAAGAGACTGATAACCATTACTCTCTTCGAGAATGTGGAGAATCCCCTGGCATCATGCACTCAGCAGGAGAAAAGAAAACAATCTTATAAATGACACTAATATTCCAAATAGGTGACAATAAACAGCAAGGTTGTTTTGCCTGTTTGGTTGGTTGGGTTTTTTGGTTTAACGGAATAAAAGTCTAAGGAAATTTCTGGAATATACACAAAAGAACTGAAAAAGCAGGGTCTCAGAGATCAATTTGTATACCTCTGTTCACAGCAGCCTTACTCACAATAGTCAACAGATAGAAGCAGCCCAAGTCCTGACCAATAGGAACATCAGTGCTCATTTAGGAACGTGTTGGGATAAACCACATATGGTCCATCCAAAGGAACAGGATTCAGCCTTCAAAAGGAAAGCAGCCCAGGGCACTTGGGTGGCTCAGCTGACCAAGCACCAGACTCTCAGTCTCAGCTCAGCTCAGCTCATGATCTCATGGCTCACGAGCTCTAGCCCCACATTGGGAATGTCAGCACGGAGCCTGGTTGGGGATTCTGTCTCTCCCTCTCCCTCTCAAAAAAAAAACTTTTAAAAGCAAGTAAATAAATAAATTGTGAATGAACCTTGCAAACACTCTGCTCAGTGAAAGAAGCGAATCACAAAAGCCAAATTTTGTATGGTTCCATTTTCAGGAGCATTGAGAATAGACAAGTTCACGAAGGTGCATGAGTGGCTGCCGGGGGGGGGGGGGGGGGGGGGGGGGGGGGGGGGGGGGGGGGTTGGGGAGGGACTGCTAATGAGTATACGGTTTCCTTTTAATGTGACGGAAATGTTCTGGAATTGGATCACCGGGATGTTTGCGCACCATGCCGCCTTGTGAGTGAATATACTAAAAACCACTGAATTGTATAGTTCAAAGGGTTAAATGTCATGAACGTGAATTACTTCTCTGATACAATAAGAAGTAGGTATTTGAGGGGCACCTGAGTGGTTCAGTAGGTCGAGCGTCTCACCTTGGTTTCAGCTCATGATCCCAGGGTCATGGAATCGGGCTCATGAGTGCAGAGTCTGCTTGGGATTCTCTCTCTCTCTCTCTCTCTCTCTCTCTCTCTGCTCTCCGACTCACACACATGTGCACTCTCTAAAATATAAAAAGAGAAAGAAAAAGAAATAGGTATTTGGTCTTTGTCCCAATTCTTGCCATCCAGCTCCTAAACCCTCCGAGTCTCCAGTGTGATGTCTTCTGCGTGCTATGAAGGACTAGGGGCCGGGGTCCCTGGATCGCTCCCGGATGAGCTGGCCACTGGTCACCAGAAAGACCAAGGCATGTGTAGAGGATCCGAACTGAGTTCCACTCCCTGACCTGTGGCCAAGGATTTAATCGATTGTGGCTATGTAATGAAACCTCTATAAACCCCCCCAAATAAGGGGTTCAGAGAGCTTCCAGGCTGGTGGCCACGCAGAGGTGCTGTGAGGGTGGAGTGCACGCGCACATACACACACACACACACACATTTGGTTCCAAAATATGACTAAAAACAGTTCAGGTCTAAACAAGACAAAACAAGACACCCCAATGTGGAGTGAAAAAAAGCTTCCTAAGTTAATACCACCATATCTTTAATCTCAAAATCAAGCAAACCTGAACCAGATATTGCTTAAGTAAACATCCACACACAGGTGAGGAAGGAGTATTTTTTTTAAACATTTATTTATTTTTGAGAGACAGAGACACAGAGGCTGAGCAGCGGAGGGGCAGGGAGAGAGGGAGACACAGAATCCAAAGCAGGCTCCAGGCTCCGAGCCGTCGGCACAGAGCCTGACCCGGGGCTCGAACCCACAAACTGTGAGATCATGACCAGAGCCGAAGTTCGACTTGACTCTCCTTCCAGGAGAAGGAAGGGGAAATGATGGAGAAAAGTGCAGCACTGTTGTTGTTGTGTTTTTTTAAATATTTTATTTATTTCTGAGAGAGAGAGAGAGAGAGACAGTATGAGCAGGGGAGGGTCAGAGAGAGAGGGAGACACAGAATCCGAAGCAGGCTCCAGGCTCTGAGCCAGATGTCAGCACAGAGCCTGATGCGGGGCTCGAACCCACGAACCGTGAGATCATGACCTGAGCTGAAGTTGGACGTTCAACCGACTGAGCCACCCAGGCGCCCCGCAGCACTGTTGTTCTTAACAGCTTACGTGGGGTTCCCCTCTCGTTTTATTTGTATCAAGTATTTTATAGGAAAACAAAGGGACAGCGTGGGTTTGAACACATGTCCTTCGAAAGCTGCCAGACTAGAGACCAGCCTATCCTCTCCCTGCGGGCTCCCCACCCCGACTCTCCCTACCTCCCCACCCGCCCCCACCCGGGCAGGGAAGCCGACTACTGCCCCTTTGGTTGCTGAACAGATGAAGTCCTTGACTTGGGCGTGGGCTCCAGAGTGGATGAAAAACACACGTTCTACAGGCACCCTCAGCACAGCCCAGGGCAGGAGAAGATTGCAAAGGTCACCCCAGGCTTGTGATTTTTTATTTTTAGGACAGAAATTCCTTTTTCCTCTCTCTTTCTCTGTCTTCTTTCTCCCTGGGGGCGAGGGGGGGCAGAGGCGGGATTGGATGTCAATCAAATTGCACCTTCAGCGTCCCCTGAAAGGGGCGCCACTTCAGATGAGACCCAGACAATGAGTTGAAATTAAAGAGGGGAGCGGAGGGCAAGGGCCCCCAGGGCGGAGGGGCAGGACACCCCCTGAGCAGGGGCTGTGCGACCCGCTGCAGGAGCAGGAGGCCACCAGAGGGGCAGGACTCAAAGAGCGAGGGAGAAGGTGCTGCCAGGAGGCGGGAGAGGCCAGCAGGGCTCAGGGGTCCCACGAGGGGCTGGGCTGGTACCCTGGGCACCGGGTAACTACGCAGCGTTTCAGGTAGAGACCTGATGCCATTGGGTTTGCATTTGGGGAAGAGAATGCAAAACGGGCCTGCCCTGTCCGAGGGATGGGTCAGGCATGTTCACGGGACGGGACCACTGCGCGAGAGAGACACAGGCTCTCAGGCTCCCTTTTCCAGTGGGAATGACCTCTGGGAGGCCGCGGCCAGAGCTGCTACAACCCTTCCATCACTACAGGGGCACAGCCCAGCAGAGGGGGAAGCCGGGAGAACAGAACTGAGAGACAAGATAGGAAAACCGGATCCTAGAGATGCTGGTGCGCCCCTAGATCAAGCTGGACCTGAGGCCTGTGCGAACACCTGTGTTAAGTGTCCTATGGTAGTTCTGGCTGCCATAGCAAAATGCCACAGACTGCGTAGCTTAGACTACAGAAATTTGTATTCTGGAGGCTGGGAAGTCCAAGGTCAAGGTGCCAACCCATTTTGTTCTTAGTAACGGTCCTTTTCCTGGCTTCTCACTGTGTCCTCAGTTGGCAGAGACCGTACTCTGATATCTATTTCTTTTCTTTCTTTTTAAAATTTTTTAATGTTTTATTTATTTCTGAGAGAGAGAGAGAGAGAGAGACAGCGTGACTAGAAGAGGGTCAGAGAGAGAGGGAGACACAGAATCCGAAGCAGGCTCCAGGCTCTGAGCTGTCAGCACAGAGCCCGACGCGGGGCTCGAACCCACAAACCGTGAGATCATGACCTGAGCCGGAGTCAGATGCTCAACCAACTGAGCCACCCAGGCGCCCTTCTATTCTTTTCCTTGTAAGGGCATCAGCCCTATCAGATCAGGACCCCACTCTTATAACCTCATTTAACTTTTATCTTCTCACAGGCCCTTTCTCCAAATACAGCCACAGTGGGGAGTTAAGAATTCAACATACGAATTTGGGTAGACACAAACATTCAGTCCATAACATTGTACTGGCCAATAGATACCCTTTACCTTTTTTTTTTTTTTTAACATTCATTCATTTTTGAGAGAAAGAGCATGAGTAGGGAAGGGGTGGAGAGAGAAGGAGACACAGAATCCAAAGCAGGCTCCAGGCTCTGAGCTGTCAGCACAGAACCGAATCCAGGGCTCAAACCCACAAATCACGAGATCATGACCTGAGCCAAAGTCAGACGCTTAACAGACTGAGCCACCCAGGCGCCCCTAAATACCCTTTATCTTTAAGCCAGTTTGAGTTGGATTTACTGTCCCTTGGAGGAGATTAACTCTACACTGATGTGGAGAGGGGGAAGATGGAGGTGTCAGGAAGGACAGGTAGGTTTTCAGCTAGTGGAACATATAGTTGCTCCTAATAAAATAATTATTAGAAGTATGACATATGCTATCTACACTGGCATAAGGCTATAATGCACGGTACAAAATATAATATCGTTCTTATTTGTGATGATCAGGTCAGTGAAGTAGATCCTACTTACCTACTGACAATAAAATCTTGTTACGTACTGAATATTCACAGTAAGGTCCTGAGGTCCCTGCCTGCCTGCCACCTGATTCGTGCCCCATTCTATGGCCTGCAAGGTGCAGGCGGCCGCGGGAAATTGCAGGGTAGGGATGCAAAGGGTGTGTGCGGGAAACCGAGGCTGAGCAGCCCTGCTCCGGATTGTGTAGAGAAAACTGAACACTTCTGGTTGTGCAGTGTGTTCCTTCTCATCTATAAATCTGCAGGGTTTTTATTTATATTTTGTTTAGTAGTCTTTTTCTCTTTTTTTAAATTTTTTTAATGTTTATTTATTTTTGAAGTAGAGACAGAGAGACAGAGCACGAGCCAGGGAGGGGAAAAGAGAGAATCTGAAGCAGGCTCCAGGCTCCGAGCTGTCAGCACAGAGCCCGATGCGGAGCTCGAACCCACAAACCATGAGATCATGACCTGAACCGAAGTCGGACGCTTAACCGACTGAGCCGCCCAGGTGCCCCCTGTAGTATTTTTAATTATTGTGCAATAAATCTTTTCAGGAGCATGACACTTACAAAAAAGGAGTCCACGTTTCATTTAAAATTAAGTCCTGAATCTCCATTTCTTGGATTTGATTATGTCCCTCTTTCTCTATCTTTTTTTAAAGTTTATTTGAGAGGCGGGGGGTGGGAAAGGGCAGAGAAGAGGGGGAGAGAGAGAGAGAGAGAGAGAGAGAGAGAGAGAGAATCCCAAGCAGACTCCACACTGTCAGTGCAGAGGCCGACATCAAAGTTGACTATGCAATAAAAACTTCCACAAAATATTTGTCGACGTTTACCCTCCACCATGGGGGCCAATGAGATGTCACTAACCACAAGCCACATCAGATGATACAATTCCGACTCAGAAGCATCACATCTACTTCAAAAGTTGATAATTATTTTCGAGGACTGTGCCCAGAAAATGAATCACTACGTGAAGCCACAGAAGCCGGTTGATGTGTCACTCCATAAATCCTGACTTCATTTAGATCAAATGATTTCTTTCTTTCATTTTTTAAAAAAATTTTTTAGTGTTTTACTTATTATTTCTGAGAAAGAGAGAGAGACAACATGAGCAGGGGAGGGTCAGAGAGAGAGAGAGAGAGATACAGAATCCAAAGCAGGGTCCAGGCTCTGAGCTGTCAGCACAGAGCCCACCACAGGGTTTGAACCCAAGAACCATGAGATCGTGACCTGAGCCGACGTTGGACGCTTAACCGACTGAGCCACCCACACGCCCCAATGACTTCTTTCTTTTAAATGACATTAACTTCACTTGCTACAATTCCAAGCTGTCTTGTCCTCTAATGGAAAGCAAAGCCATCACTGTAGATGCGAGATTCCTCCACCGGCTGAGGAATTATTCCACAGAGGACGTGTATCCTCTGTGTATCAAATGTATCCAATGTGTATCAAAATATACACATGAAATATATTGTATATCAAAATATATAAATGGAATGGATGGTTCCATTTTTTTCATCCACCTTATGGAATCAGAATTAAGCTCTTGGAAATGTATTCTGTCCAAAGTGACAAAGAGAAGGCAGGCAAAAGAAACGTAGGTGAAAGTGAGTGTCCTTACGATCTGCAGTCCATTCATAACTATCTGAGACAGGCGGAGTGTGACAATCCTCAAGGCACTCACAACTGCCTTAATGCCTTGCTACAGACCAAAACACAAAAAACAAACAAACAAAATCTTAGCTTAACAATAGCCAGATTTCCGGGATCCTGTAAGTCTTCTTTAAAAAACATATGGAGGGGCGCCTGGGTGGCTCAGTGGGTTGAGCGGCCTACTTTGGCTCAGGTCATGATCTCACGGTCCGTGGGTTCGAGCCCCGCATCGGGTTCTGTGCTGACAGCTCAGAGACTGGAATCTGCTTCAGATTCTGTGTCTCCCTCTCTCTCCGCCCCTCCCCCACTCAAGCTCTGTCCCTCTCTGTCTCAAAAATAAAATAAACATTAAAAAAATAAATAAATAAAAACATACGGAAATCCCTTTGGAAACTTCTTTTCTCTCTAACCTCCTTCTCCAACTTAAAAGTATATTATCAATCACGCTTCATGATCCTGATCCTAAGCGTTGCTCTTTCTGCCCTCCGGTTCTGTCCCTGTGCTTTAATAAAACCACCTTTTTTTGCACCAAAACGGTCTCTAGAATTGACAGTTCTCTCCCTGGCCACGTCTCATCACCAAGTAAAAACCCAACATTATTGTGAGTGTTACTCAGGTAAATTCAGTACAAAAGTTGAACACAGATGGCATTTCTTTTGCAATAACGCCCATATGAAGTGTGATGGGCATAGCAGAAAGGGACTAATATTCCCACTAAATTAAGAACCCCCCCCACAGAGCAGAAATGTACTTGGAATTGGGTGTGTTTAATAATGTCACCCAAACAAACTGTAAATTACATCATTTGAATTAGAAATCATAGTTGCCAAAATTTACAAACATTTTTTTCATAATTAGACTAAATGAACTACAAAATTTGTGTGACAAAAGTGATGGTAGAGGGGTGCCTCGGTGGCTCAGTCTGTTAAGCGACTGACTCCTGATTTTGGCCGAGGTCCTGATCTCATGGGAGTGAGATCAAGCCCCTTGTCTTCAAGCTCTGTGTTGGGTATGGAGCCTCCTTAAGATTCTCTCTCTCTCCCTCTGTCCCTCCCCTGCTCATTCTCTCTCTCTCAAAAAAAAAAAAAAAAAAAAAAAAAAGGCCATGGTAGACACAAAAATGCGCAAGTGCACAGCAGTAACGATTTTTTCTGGGCCCCTCAACAACAGACACTTTGGAAGTGTGAGTCTTTGCACACCACTGTTAAGTGTACTGGTGACATTGAAGGAGTCCTCGGAACTGGTGCATTTTATCCAAATTAAGTTCAAAACTTTTAAAGTATTCAGAGTCTGTATCTCCCTCTGTCTCTGACCCTCCCCTGCTCACGCTGTCTCTCTCTCTCCTAGAAATAAAAATTTTAAAAAAATTTTAAAAAAGTATTCAGCAACTGAATACCCCCCCAAAAAAATAGCCTTAAAGCTTTGTAGCAAATTATGACTGCAAAATTGCCACAAGGTAATGAAACGTGGCCCTATAAAAGCAGAAAAACTTGAAAAAACTGAACACTCAAAGAATGATTTCTGAAGTTCCGTAATCGCACTTTGAAATACTATCGCACTACCTCCCGTTGTTTAAAAACAAAAACAAAAACAAAAACAACTCTGAGTTTAATTGAATAAATTTACATTTTTAATCCAATTGTACGGGTATCGTGAAGCACCACTATTCTGCAGCACCGAAATCTGGTGAAACGCTCAAAAGAAATCAGAATCCCTCCCATCCCCCCACCCCGGGCCTGCAAGTCTTCAAAGTACAGCGGGTCTCCCATCCAAGTACTAACCAGGCCCGGCCCCGCTTAGCTTCGGAGATCAGACGAGATGGGCGCGTTCAGGGTGGTATGGCCTAGACTGGGTGGCTCAGTCGGTTAAGCGTCTGACCTACTCAGGTCATGATCTCGCGCTTTGTGAGTTCGAGGCCCGCTTCGGGCTCTGTGCTGACAGCTCAGAGCCTGGAGCCTGCTTCGGATTCTGTGTCTCCCCGCTCTGCCCCTCCAATGCTCATGCTCTGTCTCTGTCAATAATAAATAAACGTTGAAAAAATTTTTTTAAAAAGTGTAGTGGGTGCAGGGCCCACCCCAGACTCCAGGCCTCAGTTTCCTTTTCCGGACAGCTTCTAGAGCCTCTTCCGCTTCCGACCGCGTGGAGGCCGCACGGCCTCACTCCCGCCATGCCCCGGGGCAGCCGCGGGGCGAGAGAGAAAACCCCGCCCCCAGCAGAAGCGCGTGCGCACTCGCCCGCGGCGCCGAGCCCCCAAGGCGCCCCACGCCCGCGCCCCCCCTCCCTACGCGGGCCCGCGCGTTCACGCACTCGCGCACGCGCCCCTCGGCCGGCCGGGCGGCCCGGGCGCCGGGTCCGGCTCCCGAGGCTTCGCTGCCGGCGGCCCGCGGCGAGCCGGCGCCGGGCGGGCGCCGCGCGGTGGGCGGGGGCGGCGGGGAGCTCGCGAGGAGGGCGGGGCGGGCGGGGCGGGCGGGCCGGGCCCGCGGGCGGCGGCGGCGGAGGGCACTCGGCGGCGGCGCTGGTGCGGGCGCCATGGAGGCGAACGGGGGCCCGGAGCGCCCGCCTGCCGAGCGCGACGGCCCGGGCCTGACTCCCGAGGACGGCGCGCGGGCCCGCGCCGAGTTCGCGGCGCTGCACGGCCCGGCGCTGCGCGCGTCCGGGGTCCCCGAGCGGTACTGGGGCCG